CCTTGCATCCAATGGAAGTTAGATTAGATAATTTCCAAGTCAATTTTCAATTCTCAAATTCTATTAATCAATGATTTCTGAGTGGAAAATGACAAAAAACCTATATGGAAGACAGAGAATACTCTTTAGAAAAGTTTGGTGTTCAGGAAAGAATAGAGCTAGAGACTTGTTATGAGTTGGCTGCTATAATCCAGGCATGTGTTTATGAGGGTCTGTGTTGTTGTGGTGGCCATGGAAACAGAAAGGAAGGAGATACACATCTCTTGGTGTCTGGGGTATAGGTAGTGGCTTAAAGCCGAAATAGGAATGTTAAGGCAGACTGCATGCGGAAGTGTTGTGTTTACCTGGCTTTACTGGATTTCTTGTCTTCCTTATTTTTATAGCGGTCGATAGACTTTGGAACAATTTATGGCAGTGCAACTGACCTTTTGACCTTTACAGATCTCAATTTCAGAGGTAGCAGAGGTTCTTACTAAATGTCTGCCTGAGACTTTGGAAAATCTGCTACCCAGAAGTTATCCAGAATTCCCAAACTCTTTCTCCACTCATCCCCTCCAACCTTTTGTGTTATTCAAGAGGATGAGGCAGGAATATCAGTTATATATATGGAGACTTAGTACATTTATGAAGATTGTATGGTTATAATGCAATTGCTTTGTTAATAATAGGTGTGAAGCATTGATTTGTTATATTCGTATTGTGGTTTTTCAGAGTAATGACATTAGATGTTAGCATCTAGAATACTTGTCAGTAAACTTTTTCCAAATAAGTAGAGTTGTGACATGTTCTTTTGACTTTTTAATCACAAAATCTATACTGGATATATTCCTTTAATATGAAAAATTCAGGTATTATAGTTATCTACAGAATAAAATAGGAAAGTCTTTATTCATAAAGCTTTCTCTCTACCTCCAAATCCTCTACCCAGAATCAGGTGAATAACTTGGTATGTATCCTTCTCTTGATCTTTCTATACTTTTGCATTATATTTATATATATTTATGTATTTTGTACATATATATTTTGGGCTTGTTTTAGCACAAATTTGATTATACTATATATATAATTTTGTAACTTGGTTTTTAAATTTAAAACATTATTATATTTTAAAAATATTTTGCTTGAGATGATCATATGACTTTTTGAACTACATTAAAAGATTTCTTAATTTTGAACCACTGTAACATTTGCTTGATAATCCTTACTTGGCTATTATGCATAATTCTTTTAGTACACTAGTGAGTTCAAGTTGCTAACGTTTTGTTAAAATTTTACACATCTATGTTTTTTAAGTGAAATTGGCTTATATATTTTTATTTGATTGTTTACGTGGACTTTCCTTGTCTAGTTTGTTGCCAGAATTATTCTAGCTTAATAAAAGGAACCAGGAAAACTTTCTATCTTTTTCTACTTGTTCTGAAAATATATATATTATATGAGAATATTCTATTCCCCAAATCATCTGGGCAAAGTATCATTTTTTTTTTTTAGGGAAAGGTCTTAGACTACTTTTTATAATTTTCATGGTTAATGGTCATTTTAGGTTTTCTGTCTCTTCTTATCTAATTTTGATCACCTAATATCGTACTATTTGAAGATTCACATTACAGTTTCACATTCACTGGCAAATATTTGGATAAATAGTTTTCTCATAATTCTTATTTCTGTTAAAAAATCTTAGGAATCTGTTGTCATTCTCCATTTTTGTTTCTAGTCTTGTTTTTAAGGGCTGTAAGTTTGCTGAAGGCAAGAACTGTGTCTTATTTATCTGTATTATTAGTTCCTTGTTTGGTGGGTAATAAATGGATATTGGACGGCTGGATAAAATGTATGAATAAAAGAAGAACGAATAAATAAGTGTAATTATGACCTGTCATAAATTCTTCTTGGAATAAAATCGGTTACAAATAAACAGATAAACGTTCCTTCCTCCATTTCATGTACTGGTAATTCTGGGCTATTGTTACAGGATGTCTGCAGATGGCAATATAAGTGCTGCTGGAAGCCGGTGCCAGACACTGCTGTCCCCAGATGCTTCTTCCCCAGGAACTGGGGCTATGAACTCAGCCGTTGGGTTAACAATACCAGCCCAGGTGAGCACTGCCCTAATGTTGCCCCAGGGGATAACTTTTTATGGCTCAGATAAGATAACTGCAAATTAAGGGCTAAAAGCTTCCCTGTCTCTCTCTCTCTCCTGCCCTGACCCCTAGTGCTTACTGCCCAGTTGAATAGGTTGCCGTCCCCATCTCTGTTTGGATATGATGTAATCAACACCATCTTCACAGCTGAGTATCAGACATCCAATCGTTTTCATTTTAAGGTGAGTTTGGTAGTCACCATTAAAGACATCTCTGAAGAAAGCAGGGTCTCTACTCTGGGTTCCACATAGAGCTGTGGAGGCAGGAGGTGTCTGTTCCTCTCTGCATGAACATCCCAATGGGATGGGCAGACATTTTTATTTGATGGGGGCCATGTGATGGGGTGATTTCTTTTTCAAGTCAGGAAACACAGGGCCAAGAATTAGAAGCTATTCTTATTGGATGTTATTTGAAAGTGAAAATCTTTTGTAAAAGCCTTATCAGGAAGTGTCCCTTCTGTTTTCCGACAGATCACTGATTTCAATAACATACGCTATCAAGTCCCCCATGAAAACGTTCAGCAGTTTGATGGGACTGCTAATACCTCCAACCTGAACTACCACATGGAAGTCATTAATAAGCCCTTCAGCATCAAAATAATGAGGACGAGCAACAAAAGAGTCTTGTGAGCTTTTCAACACTCTTTGTATATCTTTGAATATACTCCCCAGTGTCACTCATTCTGACTTAACTGCGTGCGGGCGGGCAGAGATAATGTTGGGAAAATGTTTGAAGCTCAGAAACTGTCAATGCTTTTACTGTAAATCATTAGCATCGTGACCCTGTCACGACTGCAGAGCAATGAATACTAATGTGTAGTGTGCTCATTTGCTAAGTTATACACATATGCTTGTGATTCACGTATATTATGAAATAGATAATTTTATTATTTTGGATTACCATTTACACTGGAACTCAACTTCACTGTTTATCATTCCAAATTATTACTTCCCGAGAAACTTACCATCAAGCACCTAATAACAGCTTGAACTTAAATCGTAAATTGTACTGGAAAAACTAGAAGGATTGTCAGTGAAATCTGTATTCACATCCTGCCATGTGTGAATCACCAGTCAACTGCGTGACACTAGGCAAATGACCTCGCCTCATTAGTCTCGGTTTCCTTGTACATAGAAAGGGAATCAAGGTACCCACTGTTGCTATGTGTGCTGAGGTAATATTTATAAGCATCTAGAACCGTGCATGGCAGGAAGTGGATGTACAGCAGGTGGAAGGTTGAATTTACTCCCCTCCCCCAATTATCCCACTTGAGTTACTAGTCTCACATCTTCAGTGCTATGCTCCTCTTGAATCAAAGAATCAGAGACACACTAGAAGGACCTTCAAAGGACACATAAAAGTGGATGACACCACCTGCAATCGCTGTTCTTGAAGTGCACAGGGAAAGGAGGAGACGGCTGGCTGGCAGAGCGCGCTGTTGGGTGACTCTCGCTCTTACTCCACGGCCCCGATTCCAGGTTGGACACGGGCATCGGGCCCCTCCAGTTCGCCCAGCAGTACCTGCAGCTGTCTTTCCGACTGCCCAGCGCCAACGTGTACGGGCTGGGAGAGCACGTGCACCAGGAGTACCGCCACAGCATGGCCTGGAAGACCTGGCCCATCTTCACCCGCGATGCCACCCCTACCGAGGTGAGGCTCCCTTCCTCCTGCTTGTTGCTCACAATAATGAATGCCTTCTCTCCTTTCCAGAAAGTAACCTACAGCGTAATCTTATCAAGTAAAATAACCGACAGAGTTACATCTGTATCTTATTTTGCCCAATTTAGATTTGTATGTGTTGGAGAATATTTGTTCTTAAGGTTTATCAACTCACAATCAGTGGTATATCAATTTGTACAAACATCTCACTTTTAAAGGAACATATAATAATGACTATTATAGTCTGATATATATTAAAAAATACTTCTGTGAAATACCTGTTTGTCTTTTATAACTGAGTGGTGTCTAGGGGTAAGTGTCAGCAGGGACCAGTCTGAGGAGAACTTTGTAGACTAAAAAAATGCCTGTTTTGGCAGCTTTAACATTGTTCTAGATTCCTGCTGGCCACAGTGGGTTCCAGAGACAGCAGCGTTGGCATCATCTGCGAGGTTGTCAGAAATGCAAGACCTTAGGCCGTAGCCCAGCCCCACTGAATCAGAATCTGCATTTTAACAAGACCCAAAAGTGCATCACATACATAGTAAAGTGGGAGAAGAGCTGGTTTAGAGCAGTGCCTCCTGACTTATCTGTAGTAAAGGAATCCTCCTTCCCTCCCTCCGTCTCTCCTTTCCTTTCTTTCTTTCTTCTCCTCTTCCTCCCTTTCCCCACCTCTCTCTCTCTCTCTCATTATCCAGCATGGGCAGTACTTTAATAAAATACAATTCAAATATATTACTAGGAAAATGAAATAAAAATACTCAAAGACACATAAAATACACACCTAAATTTTGAATTGAACAGATATAAAATTACTCTTTTAAGTTGCTATAAAAGAGTTTCAAACTTTCTCTTGATGTCTGTGCCCACCTTGTTGCCGCCTCACAGCAAAGGGTTGGGGGAGGTAGCCACCCGTGGATGGCACGTTGAGTAGCACTGCTTTGCAGAGCATGTCTTGAAGCCTCCATTGTGCAGATGATTCTCGGATCTGGGCAAGAGCTGCGGTTGATGTATTTTGCAAAGGAGGGATGCGACTGAAGTTTTGCAGTTCATATTCCACAGGAGATGGACAAATCAGGTAGCACATTAACTGGCCCGCCTACCAAGTCTGATGCAGCAGAGGAAGCACACTTACTGAACTCAACAAAGAAAAAGCAATGGCCAGCATGTTCACTAAGATGCTTGGTCAAGGACAGAGACGAACGTGGAGTGCTGAGCCTCCTACTAGTGGGTTTCTGCAGACAAAATCCTTGACTTACAGAGTCACTGATTAGGTTATAAGTCTTTTTCCTTTCTTTTCTTTTTTTCTTTTCTTCCTTCCTTCTTTCCTTCCTTCTCTTTCTCTCTCCTTCCCTTTCTTTTTCTTTTTTTTTTCTTTTCTTTCCCCACCCCTCCGCCTCTCCTTTCTTTATATTATTTTTTAGATTACAGTCTGTTATCTATCTGAGTGTTGATGCTAGGAGTCTTTCTGGCTGTAATTTTAAAACCAGCCTAATTTTGCAGAGGCCGCTGGTCTTCTACATTTCACACATCATGCTGATCTCTATACCAGCCCTAAACCAGGGGCTAAATTTGCAGCATCACACAGGGAGCTTTCGTATATTATAATCTCAACATCTTCTATTCTTACAGCGCTTACATTTATACTCATTAACTCTTTTTATATCAGTGCTCCTCACAGCCCCATGAAAGAGTCAATATCCTTTTTTAAATTTTAACTTTTTTACTACCTACATATTATATCTTAATTATAGAAAATTAGAAAATACAGCTAGGAATAGAGAAGAAATTCAAAATTGCTCAAATTATATCTTCTGCTAACATTTTGTTACATGTCATTGCAAACATTTTCCAATTAAAAAAAAACTCGATGGAGATATAAATTTATACAACATAACATTCACCTGCTTAAGGTGTATAATTTAATGGTTTTTAGCACTTTTACTGAGTTGTGCAACCTACATCATAATCCAGTTTCAGAGAATTTTCATCAGCCCAGTAGGACCCCTGATACCCTTTCAGACTAAATCCCATCCCCACCCCAGTGCCCACTCCAGCCCCAGACGATCACTAATATATTTTCTGTCTTTATAGATTTGACTCTTTTTTTTGACGTTCAACATAAATGGAATCATGTCATATATGTTTTTTGATGTAATTTCTTTCACTTAGCGTAACATTTATGAGGTTCATACATGTCAAAGCAGGTGTCAGTATTTCATTTCTTCTTATTGCTAAGAGTGTCCCATTGTGTGGATATGCCACATTTATCCATTGCCAGTTGATGTTACTGTTTCAAAACCTTTTTGGCACAATACTAAACTACATCAAGTGTTAACCGAGTACATTTGTGCGTAGCCTTTGATTTTATTTTAGGGAGAATGAAAACTATTTTCAACATACAATACTATTATTTCTTTCATTTCTGGTTTCAGGGCATGATTAATCTGTATGGAGCTCATACCTTCTTCTTGTGCCTTGAAGACACCAGCGGCAACTCTTTCGGGGTTTTTCTGCTGAACAGTAATGCCATGGGTAGGAAGCATCTTTTGATCTTGGCAGAAGTATGTCTTGGGATGCAACTTTTATAGAAATGACCTTCTCAATGAGATCAGTGTTTAGCAGAAGGCATATTGGACCTACAGTGCTTCTATAGAAACTAGAAACCCGAAGTAGGTTAACCTGTTTACAAAACCAGTTCATGCTGAAATCTGTTTCCATTGAAAACCACTTCAGGGTTCTCACTGGATGCAAGGTTTCTCATGCTGTTTTGTATGTAATAGGCCCCATTGATAGACACGTCCTAAAGATACCTGTAGGCTTCAACCTGTAAACCATGTGTCTGTCTGAAGGCAACAAGGCTGTGTTTTGTAGGCTGTTTCTCATGGTTCACCCCTTCCCCACTCTAGAATCTTCCTCCTCCATCTTCTAGACTAATGCTGCTCTAATAAGAGTATATTTTCATTTTTCAGTTGTAGTTAAACTCGTCTAATAAGGTCTTTGAACTTTTCCTTTAGGTTAAATCACTCATCAATCCCAGACATTTGTATTTTTATGTAGCCAGATTAAAATAGAAATGTCCTTTTTTTTCTCTTAAAAAAAATCAGTTCTTCATGAATGTTTTACCCATTTGATGTTTTGATAAACTTCAGCAACCATCTGAAAAAAGGAACATATGTGATTTTTCATCTCTGTCAATGAGACTGAACCTGTTTTGGGTAGCTCAGGTATTCATGTTCCAGAGAGGAGTATATTTCCAAGCCGGCATTCTAACAGCTCTTAGCTTAACCCTTTCAGAGGTCACCCTTCAGCCGGCTCCTGCGATCACTTACCGCACCATTGGGGGCATTCTTGACTTCTACGTGTTCCTGGGAAATACTCCTGAACAAGTGGTTCAGGAATACCTGGAGGTATGGGCTTTGCATTTAGATAATCAATACACTCATTATAAATTCACAAGAGAAAATTAAATTGTATACGTAGACTCTGGATTCCAAATGCTGGGATTGAGTCTTTCCTGCACTGTGTGCTTATTCTGATGCACATTGGTTGAGTGCCTTCTGCATGCTGAAGAGGCACTGTGCAAGGCTTGAGAAATGCAAAAATAAGTTAGATGCCATCCTGTTTTCAAGGAACTCATAGTTCATTTATGTGTGAACAATCATTCCAAAGATCTAAGGCCAAAACTCAGCAAAGTTTATTCATTCAATTCAACAAGAACAACAAAAAATTAGTGAAAAAAACTATGTAAAAGAAACTGTGCTAACTGTTTTTGATTCAAACTGTAGGAGAGGAAGGGACTTTGACAGCATTTAGCCTAAACTTCCCACTTTACAGATAAAAAAACTCAGGTGCAGAAAAATGAAGCAATTTGCTCAAGATGATACATAAGGCATATGGAATAGGATTTTGGCTGCAAGTGAATTTATTGTCACATAGGAGAAATATGACAGAACCTGAAATAATTGTAATAAGAAACACCTTATATTAATACCACTAATGAGATGCAAATGCATTATGTATGGCTTCATAGGGATGAGAGAAAGCACCGGGTTGAGGGAGTTCTCATAGGGGAGGACCAAACAGCAGCTCTTAGGGAATACGTAAGACGGGGTTCTGTCTGGGCTTTTCTCAGGATGTTGGCTTGAGCAATTTGTAGACTTGGATTTTAAGTATAGTCTAGTACTTCTTCACCATCTCACTCTTAATCCCATCAGCCCTTAGTCTTTTTGCTTAGCACATAGCACTGTCTGAAATTACACTAGACATTTATGTGAGAGGAGGAACCATGTTTGATTTATGCTATTAGATCCCAAATGCCTGCATCAGCCCTTGCCACACTGTAAACACGTACCGAGTATTTATTGGATGAGTGAATGTTACTTCTTTCCCCCCAAGCTGATACTGTTATTCAAGCACTTTCTGCAAATCCTGTCATTTTCTGATGTTGCAGTGGTTGGGAATGTATTTAGGTAGTTAGTAATGAAAGATGTGAGTTATAGAATTCTGCAAATTACCCTAGGAGATGATCCTTGGCTCTGACATTTTTAGATCAGGAGACTTTATAGAAAATGAAATAGAAACAATGTTTTCTGTGTCAGACATGGTGCTACAAACAATGCTTATTCTAAATGTGTACACATTTCTTTATCTTTTCAAAGCTTGTTGGACGACCATTCTTGCCTCCCTACTGGAGTCTTGGGTTCCAGCTTAGTCGCAGGAATTATGGTGGCATCGACGGATTGAAAAAAGTTGTAGACCGAAATCGTGCAGCTGAGATTCCATATGTAAGTTGGAATTTCTCTTTTCATGTATAAGGCATCATTTCTTATCTTTTATTTTTTTGCATTGAATTCAATTTATTAGGAAAAATACAGATTGATGAACAGTGGATAGATAGACAGACAGACAGACACACCTACCATCAGAAATTTGTGTGCTAAATGACCTCTTTCATCCTGGAAATGTTTATGGGCATATGGATATCGTTTTGAATTTTAGCTCGACCCCTGGCTCTGTGCAATGTTGGACTAGTTAATTAACATCCCTGAGTCTTAGTTTCCTCCTTTATAAATGAAAACATAGGACTTACTTTGGTGGGCTAGTAGTGAAGAATGCCTTATACTGTGCATGAAAAGCAGGTAGCACAGGACGAACTCCATCAAAGTTAGCTGTTAATTTATAAGAGGAAGCAACAGCTGGGATGATATGGTTACAAAGAGCTGCTGAATCTAACAGTGACTTGACATTAAGTGACTTTCTCATAGTGACCTTGTGTACTCCTTCCAGATCTAGCCGACTCTCATTTTGAAAGCTCTATGATTGCAAAGGATTTATGATGCTCAGTGCCCACTAATAAACAGATAATTATTGTGTGTAACATTTGATCAGTTTCTTCAGGAGATGTATAATCTGGCTAATGAAGTTGTCACAATAACTTACTTGGGGCTAGATCTTTGGAACTGTGCTGCATGTGCATATTTGGTTGGCATCTGAATGAAGATTGTATGGGTGGAAATGACTTTGCCTTGATCTCAGGGCTTTTCAGAATAGCAGTGAGGGCAGGCAGGGAGATGAAATGTTCCTGCAAGAAAATGTACCCACTGTGTTGTTTTGGTGCGAAGGAGAATTTGATCCTGTATTTTATTTTACTTCACCCATATCTGCTATCTGTAAATGCCCACTTCCAAGAAAGATTAGACGAAATCTTGTCACATCTTTATTATTTTACAAAGCCTTTTCACATTCGTGGGTGAGCCCCATTTATTGGTATTTTGTAAGTGAGGAAATGGAGATGCTGCATGGTTAAGAATTTTCCTAAGGTCACTACAGTAGCTAAATTGCAGGACCAGGATTCAAAAGCAGTTCTTTTTAACTGTATGTGGTGCAGATTTTAGTCTGTCCCCATACTTCTGACGGGAAGGGTTTTCAAAGGTGTTAAATGAGCTTTTCTTCCTTGGGTCCGCAATTTCCCACCATGTGGCTGTGGAGGACACCTGGGCCTAAATGACTACCCAGTATTCGAACAGACGATGCTGCCTTGGTAACAGATCACAAGCCACATGACTACGTGAGGAACATGTACTTAGAAGACCTTCATATGTCTTTGGAGTATGTGGTAGATTGGAAAAAAAAGGGTGTCTGGAATCCAAGAGCCTATCACCAAAGTCCCAGTGCCCCCACTCACCCATGCACGTGACCTTGGGAAATGTCACTTAAGCCCTTCACATTTCAATCTTCTCATTAAGAATAACACCTGCTCCTCACACACTGGTATGTGAACAGAAAAAATAATGTATACATGAGAGTTTGGTCATTTAAAACTCTATGCCTTTGTTATTTATCTTTGTTAATTATAGTGGTTTTATAGAGGCAAGGACACCATTTTCTCCTCTTACAATATATTCTAGCTTGATGTTTAAGCTCCGAGTTAGTCCCTGGTTATCACATTACTAATATATTCATTCAAACAAACATTTAAAGAACACTGGTTTTATGTCACATCTCCGAGCTCTCAAGTTACAAGGATGAACGAGACACAGTCCCGACCTCAGGTTCCTCCCAACACCTACGACATGCACCTCTCAGGATGAAAATGTAAACCTGCAACCCAAGGGTGCCAACATCTCTCCAAAGGGAGTTATTTACTCCTAGATGGTAGCCAAGTCCTGGAAGCCTCAGGCTTATTAAGAAATATAGCTTCAGTTTCAATGATCAAGAACCAGAGCTATGATACTTTCTATCAGCATGGTGATATTTCTCGGTTCTGACTGGCCAGCACTGTCTTTCAGGATGTCCAGTACTCTGACATAGACTACATGGATGGAAAGAAGGACTTCACCATTGATGAAGCGGCTTTCCCTCATCTCTCAGATTTTGCCGAAGAGTTACATAAATATGGACTGAAATATGTAATTATTATGGTAGGTTCAAACACTTATTCTGTTGCCTACTTTTTCCTTTCAAAGTAGGAAAAAAAGTTACAAAACAATATTTATTATTATATTCTTTTATTAGAATCCTGGCATCTTAAATAACTCTGACTACCAGCCTTATATGAAGGGAAGAGAAAAGAAAGTGTGGATCTTAGGGAACAAAGGCGCTGTTGTTGGGCAGGTAATTTCTCAAGAAAATTCGGGTAAACTACAATCATTTTGAGAAGTTTGCATTTTTGGTATGAAGATGGGTAGAAGACAAGTATTATTACTGTTTTCATGACTTTAGAAATTTCTGTTGTTATTTTTAAACCAGTAAATGTAATAGCAGAATGAGTACAATTCTGAAGGATTTATTTTTAATTAAAATATATTTGATATATAACATTGTGTAAATTTACAGTGTATAACATATTGATTTGATACATTTATGTGTTGCAATATCATTGTAGTGATAGCATCTCTATCACATCGCATATTATCACTTCTTTTTTTCTGGTGGGAATAATTAAGATCTAGTCTCTAAAAAGCTAGCCCCTGAATCTCTAATACTATAGATAATTGAGAAGAAATATATTATTAGAAGAAAATCCGTTTATTCATAAGTTCCTCCTGCATCTCAATTTCTATCTTTATTCCAAGACAATAAATTCAGCTATGATGATGTAGTAGGATGCTCACAGACTCATGTGAAACCTAGCTCAATTAATATATTTTTAATTCACATCAGTCTTTTGGATAGAGCCTCACCTTTATTCCAAGGTAGCAGTTTCAATTGGAGTAGGCTGCTGGAGACGTATTTTCAGGGCAGCCGAGCTTTTGAAAGTAATTTAAATGACTTAAGCAACGTTCTGTTTCAATTATGTGTGGACTCAGTCCTAGATGACTGGATTATGTGAGATTTGCTAAAACTGGTACTTAATCTGAAAGTTCCTGTGACTTGATTTCTTATTGTGCCTGGGCCGTTTCCTTTGCTAAACTGTCTCTTCGGGGTTATCAAAGCCTCCTTACCTAACCGCTCACTTAATTCCTACCATTGACTTTGTTTACAACACTTGATTCCATTTACTTTCTTTTTCATTGATTCTAACTTTTCGTGAAGCAACAGAGAAGTTTCTTTCCTTCTCCAAACCAATTCTTTGCTTTTACTGTTTTGAAGTGAATCCTGTTTGAATTGAATTTCTAAAATATCAGATAGACTGATACTCATGAGTAAGTATAAAATCAGAGGACATGGTCACAGAAACATTATTTCGGTTATCCAAAAAGTAGATTATCCAGCCCTTTGAGTCATTTCAGTAGTACGCATCTTTGAGTGGTCTCTAATTAGGAATTTGCATACAATTATAAGAGTTTAGTTAGATAGTTACCTCCACCGACCAGTAAGTGACACAGATCATTTGCTCTAAGATGTTGGCGGAGGCAGTAGTAGTAAAGGTGGCTGGGGTTCATTATAAAGACCTTTGGTTAAAATGAAGCTTGCTGGCCCTGCTGTAGGTAGAATGTTTCTTCAGATAACTTCTTGGCCACACCGCCTGTTCCCTGAGGGCCAAAATTACCTCTCATGATTATTTGGTACCCCATCACCTAAAACAAAGGAGTAGGCATTCAGTCCACTTAAAGGGGGCATTTCAAGCTCTCATCTTGAGTTTTAAGAAGTCTCTGCATTTTATATATAAATATACATGTGTATATAATTATATACATTATGTTGAGTGTAAAGTCGTCCCTAAATGACAACCTATAAGCTTGTTGGGAAAATGAGCAAGAAATTATGCACAAAAGCTTGTATCTCATCAATTCAGAATTTTCAATAATTTGACTGTGGCTGTATCTTTGTACTATTTGCGAAAAATGTTAAAAGCTACACTTTGATAGGAATAGATTGGAAGAGGACATAGGGCAAGAAATATCGGACCTGAGTAAGAAGCACAAAATTCTTTTAACCATTTAAAAACAATTGTTTATATGCCAAAAATCAGTGTATTGTTTATAAACATCATTGTTCAAAGTGGGTTTGGGATGACTTTTAATGAACAATACATTAAACGAATTTAATCATTCTCTTCTAAAGTATTATCTAGTTAGATTTCCAGTATTTTAAATGATTCTTCTCCCAGCTGGCTTGACATAATGAAATTTTATGTATTTTTAAATAGATCAAAGACATTTGATGGCTTCTTACCTATTTAATCAGTTGGTTTTCCTTTTCTTTTTTCTTCCTTTGGTCCCTTGCATCTATTTTACTATTTAGTTTTTGGAGGAGAGTCACAGTCACAGGTTTTGATTCTAAGATGTTAAGATGCAGGGGGCTTCTAGTAGAAGACGTAGTAGTCAGCAATAAATCCAGAAGTGAACCATCAAACAGACTAATTGTCACAGCCTTCTTCTTTGCTCTCTAGGGTTATCCTGGATGGACAGTCTTTCCTGATTTTAGTAACCCAGATTGTACTGAGTGGTGGGGAGAGCAGCTCAGTGAATTTCATAAAATTCTGGAGTTTGATGGCGTGTGGATTGTAAGTTGTTTTTCCAGGATCGAACTTCTCTTGGAAACGCATATTCCAAGTTGTGAGATTAACTGAACAGTTTTCTTTCTTGACGTAGTGGTATTTAAAATCCTTTTACTTAATGCTGAGTTCATATGCAGTAAATTGGACCTCTCAAAACCTTGGATTTTAATTCTGGATCTGCTACTAATTGGTTATATCTTTTTGATAAAATCCTTTGCTTTCTCATGGGTTTAGCTTTTTCCTCCATTTATTGCATTTTAACTTAAAAACACTGTCTTATCAGGTGCTATAATTACTCTTGTCACACTGATTCATATAAAATTTAATCATTAGAGAATAATTTAATGAATCCCTTTTACTTTTTGGATGGGGATAGCTGGTGGGAGTATTTCTTTGAAATTTAAAAAATTAACTCTTTTTCAGCAGGATTAGGCATCACTTATTTTTAACCCATTTTAAAGAAATAGATATGATATTAATTATATATCTTCTTCTTGCCCTACACTGAGTGGAATAAAAGACAGGAGAAATTATAAAGGCCAAATATTACCCTATCTTATGTTCTTTAAAATAATATTAAAATAATAGCATCAACAATAAAATTTCATGTTTATATGGCAAGAATCAGCCTTTCGAATGCCATTTCTTAGTTAACTGTTTGAAATCAGTGTATAAAAGGTAAAATGTGCCTGGTATCATTTAGAATTAGAAGACACCTAGATATAATCTAACCAAAAAGATGAAGCAGAAGTCAAGAAAATTCAGGGCTTCTAGTTCGGTAAACGTTACTCAGTAGCTAACTATATATCAGTAACATTGTGCATTTTGTGTATTTTGTGTCTTTGTAGGACATGGATGAAGTATCAAGCTTTGTCCAAAGTTCTGATCATGAGTGTGAAAAGAACAACTTGAACTTTCCTCCTTTCACGCCTCGTAAGTTTTCACCTGTTTCCTAATGATGTAGGCGTGAGACGTGTTTAAAAGAACCTCACAGTACTCAGTATGGCCAAGAGCAATTCTGCTTCCCATTCAGGGGGCTCCCCCCGATCCCCACCAACACCCTGACCACCGTGACCACTCCCCTGCTGGAGCCCTTACTGTGTTGTGTGGTCTCTGATTGACTTTTTGCTGCCCTCGTCCAAGGGCAAGCATCCGGTGGGAGCCATACCTCCCCTGGCTGTAGAGTTTTACATTCTTCCATCTTGTTCAGTCTCCAAACCCCTCATTTAAGTGGTTCAATTTTAAATTTTATAATCAGAGAATATCAGAATATCAGCATATGTTAAGGTACAGACTGCCTTCCATTAAAGTGTATTTTTAAAGTCCCATTTTTAATCAAAGTCAACTTTCCAGTCCCTGATTTTGAAAGAATGTGGGGGGTGGGGGAGGGGGAGAGAGAGAGGGAGAGATAATTGGAAGCTGGAAACAAGTGAACCCCAACACCTCAGTGGATAAACACAATACATTTTAGTTTTTGCTTACATCATACACTAATGTGCAATGTGTAGCTCTCATCCAAGCAGTGACTCAGGTATCTAGTTACTTCCATAACCTGTTCTCCCATCCCGGAGTCCTTTGTTTCCAATTTCCTGGATGAAGGAGAGGGTAGAGGGAGCCTTATGGACATGCCTGGAAGTGGGGTGTATTTAATTTCCTCACGCTCCGTTGGCTAGAATCCAATCACATAGTCTCAGCTTATTTTCAAGCAAAAGTGTGAACTAGAAGCTTGTACTCCCAGGGAGAGAACACAGGTGTGCTGAGCATCTGACCAGCCTCTGCCAGTTTGCTGCTTTGTCCACTTCACGTGAACCCGTGGATCAAGGTTTAGCTATTTCTTTAGCCCCTTTTGATCACTGCAGGAGTGGAGACCTTTTTTAGGAGGAATCTTGATTTCAAATCATTTAACTTTTTGCAGATTCTACTATTTGCTTCTCTGGCTTACTCTTTATTCTTCTCTGCTCAGTCTGTGTTCCCCCCATTTTTTTCACTGTGGATCAGTTTATTGTCTTTCCCCTTTAATCTCTTAATCTTCTTCTTAGCCAAAACTGAGGCTTTTTTTTCCCTGCAGAAAACTGCAGTCCCATCACCTTCTGCTTGCTTCTGTCAAGCACCCCATCCCCTACCTGCCAGCACTTTGTCTACCTATGTATGACCAGCCGCTTTGCCTCGTAGCTGGTCTGCGTCTCCCACTTTGAGGATTGGACAGTATACGTTAGTATGGCAAAGATTTAGATAAATCAACTATGACCCTGGGAAAATTTTAGTGTCTTTTCTTATAATTGAAGCAGTTGTGAATCTCATTCCACAGTCTGAACTGTGCCAGAGACAGTGTTTTCTTTACGCAGTATAGTTCAGCTTAATTTCTGACTCCAAACCCTGATTCTGTCGGGCTGATGGGAAGAAACTCCACCTCAGTGTTTCTTGGTTTCACGGCTTTCTCTCATTATGCCCCATACTGAGGTCTTATGTACAGGCGAGGCTTTGTGAAGGAGGGCAGGTCTGGCCCCCAGTCATTTATTGGTCTTCAAGAAGGGGGAAAAAGCAATTGCAGGTCACAAGGCAGAAAATGTTGGGCATTTTAGGCACGAGAAAGGGAAAATACAGTTATAATAGTAATTTCTAGAGGCAGGATCTGAGTTTTTACTTATGAAGCCACTCAAATGTCTTATCTCCTTTTTCCTTTTAAAAAGTCTAACTGGGGTTCGTTCGAATGCCAAGAGTGAAAATGTTCCTTTCACTGCTCTCATGTCTGTTCTCAATTCTTCTCGACTGAATAGATGTAGATAAATGTGGGTGTTTTGCTTATAGCTCGTCTCAGGTCAACCTTTTCTCTGAACAGGTTGCTCACTGTTCCACTAGCCTCCATTCAGCAGCATTCTTCGTGGGCTCATGGGAATGCAAATTAATTTTAATGATCTCTCTCAGCATAGGCTCCAAGTAGGAGGTAGCATTTAGGATATTTAAAATCTGGAAAGGATTGTGCCAGGTGGGGATGGCTGGGGAAGCAGTAACCAGGAAGCAAAGGCTTGGGTAGTTACCTAGTTACAGTTGGGTGATGGAGACGAGCCTGGCTGACGGGTATTTCCCCGCAGGAGTCCTGGACCGCTCGCTTTTTGCAAGAACTCTCTGCATGGACACAGAGTTTCACTGGGGCCTCCACTATGATGTGCACAGCCTGTATGGCTACTCCATGGCCAGAGGCACAGACTCGTAAGTTGGTTTTCCCTCTAATTCCAGATTTGGGGAGGTGGGATGTGAAGGGTTTCTCTTGTCTTCTGTGAATGTATTTTTCAAATATTTGTTGTGCTTATGGAATATGGAAACTTAGATCTTACAGGCTACTTAGAGGTTTTCTGTTTTCTTTTCTTTTTAACAGAGGTACTGGGGATTGAACCCAGCACTTTGTACATGCTAAGCACGCACGCTACCATTGAGCTGCACCCCCGCCCTCCCAGAGGTTTTCTCATATCCCCCTTGATTTCTGGGCAGAATTATTTTTAATTGGCTTGTGACTAAGGGACTTCATTATTTCAAGGATAGTAGTAGACTCTAACATGCAAGGGATTTAGAGTCCCCAGTTGGACATTTGTCTGTGCTTGGGTCCTATGACCGACTGCCAGAGTCACCGCCCTAGGGTTGCCTGATTTAGCCAATAAAAATACAGGATGCCCAGTTAGATTTGCACTGGGCGTATATATACAAAAATTATTTATTGTTTATGTGAAATTGAGGTTTCCCTGAGTGTCCTGTATTTATCTGGCAATACTACACCACACCTCCTGGCTTCCTTCCCCTGCCCCCTACACTGCCTGCTCCAGTCTCCCCTCAATTCTCCCCTCTGCCCCAAGACACACGCCCACCAGCAGCAGCAGCAGCAGCAGCAGCGCCACTCATTATGAAAGTCTAACAAAGAGACAGTCCTTTTCATCCCTTGCCACATGGATGTTTTTGCTGATGACTTTGCACATTGAGGAATCATTCCCCACAAACTCCCTCTGCCAAGTTCCTTCCTTGGAAAGTGGTAAAGTACAATCATTATACCTAACGGAGCAAGAAATTCAGGGCTAAGCTTAAGGAGAGCCTAATATTAGATTTGCAAAACAGGCAAGGAAACTAAAGTATTCAAAGCATTGTTGGGGAACGTCCAGTGGCTTATGAAAGAGTATCGTAGTCTTCTTCCGTTTCTTTCCTTTTGCTCTGGTGTTTCTAGAACTCCACGGTGGGGAGTGGAGCAGGCAGACTTTGATGTGCTTATGGGATGGTTCTCAGCCCTTTTCTTACTCGACTGCCCTGCAGCCCATAGCATCACTGGCTGCTCCTTTGAAACTGGGCTCCTTTGGTTCTCGAGACACCATCTATTCTGTCACCCCTGCTCTCTTCCCAGCTGCCCTTTCTCAGCCTCCAGTTTTGGGTCTTTTTCATTTACTCTGTCACTATTGATAAATCTTAGGGATCAATTCTCAGGCTTCTCCTGGTTCTTACTATAATTTATTCTGATGATTTCTGAATCTGTAGTTCTAGCTTAGATCTCTCCCTGATTTTCAGACCCAGATATCCAAAACTACCTCTGACCTTCTCGAATTGACTGTCTTATAGTACTTCCAATACCATTCACCTTACTCTCTTACCTGTTTCTGTCCAGCCTCCACACTCTTACTACTCATCTTTGAAACTGTTAAATTCCCCATCGTGGTTGGTAGCAGTACCATCTCCATCACCCAGATTTCCAAGTGAGAAACTTGTTACCATCCTTGAGTTCTTTCTTTCTCTCACACCCTCACATGCAATCAGTCTTGGATCCTTTTAATTCTGAAACATTTCTATAACCATATCCCTTTTTTCCCCACTGAGTCTTCTTAATTAAGGTCATCATCATCGCTCATAGAAAGCATCACACCACTCCCATGACTACCCTCCCGTCCCTGACTTCAGCTTTATCTCTCACTAATCTGCCCTCTGTTCTTGCTACTCAAAGTGTGGTCCCAGGACCAGCACCATTAATGCATTGCCTGGAAACATATTAGAAATGCAGCAGCTTGGGCCTCACCCTACACTTTGGAAATCAGAATCTGCTTTCAGCAGGATCCCCAGGTCGTATTGAATGTATGTTAAAGTGTAAAAACCACTGCTCTGTGCTTCAGTCAAAGTGAGCTTTCTGAATCACAGGTCTGCTCATTTCAGCGTAAAATTATTCATGGCTTGATATTTTCAATACCTACAATAAAATCCACTCACCTTAGCAAAATCTAACTGGTACTTTGTAACCTAACCCTTTCTTCAACTCTTTCTCTCCTCTTTGCCACTCCTCCTGTTTTATGCTCTGGGAGCCTATAACTGCTTATTTCCCCCAAATCAGACGCTGTTGATCCTTCCATCTCTTTGCATGTGCTGTTCTCCCTGCATGGGATGGCCTTCCTTGCCCTGTCCGTTATGCAAATCTACACTTATCTTTAAAACCTCACCTCAGATGTTATTTCTAGAAACCTTGCTGACAATCCTAGGGAAACATTCTTTCCTCTCTTTCTGCTACTTTTGTTAATATTGCAATATGCTTAATATGCAAAACTCTTACAATTTTTAGCTTTTCTTTTCTTGCTGGCCTGTAAAGTTTTTGAGGGCAAAGTTGCCCCTGTACCCTTAGCCTGAAGAATAGAGCGCGAACTAAAGCCACGGCTGCTGAATAAACACCCGGCCTGAGGAAGTGAAGAAGGGCAGGCCGGGCCCCCGGGGACCTCATTCTAGAGGCCGAGATTGTGCACATTTTGTTTTCCAGCACTATTTTGCCCTGATGACTTTGTAGTAAAGCTGGATTGCCCAGGGCAGAGAGAATCCTTGTCTAGTAAATGCAAAAGTTTTTATTTCAAAGAAAGAAAAGCTTCAAGAAGGACACACATTGCTGATTTTGCTATCTTGTCTTTTCTGGCTTCTTTCTCTTCCTCTACCTTTCCTGGGACAGAAGCTAGATGAGTAAGACCCAATTTCTTCATCTTTGAAGTGAGAGACCTGGTTTAACGTTTTCTGCAATCCCTTCCTGTTCTGATCTACCTGGACTGTTAGATGCATCTGTCTAAGAGCAGAAGGTGGGAGGGAGAGTAGGTAAAGAGTCGGTGTGACACAGGAAGAATTAGGAAGGACACGAGGAGGGAAAGAGAGTTTACATTGCTTTATTGTTAATATCGCCATGTGGCAAAGTGCTATAACATTGTGATGGGGTTGATTAATACATTCTAAGAGCTGTGGTTAATAGTTAAAAGGCAACTATGATGAGAAAATAGTAGCTGCCCCTCCAGCTTCCCTGGGTCAGGCAAAATGGCCTAAATTCCCAGAGAACAGTGGAAATAAGTACAACTTGGCCTTTGGGCATGAGGCAGAGTTGGCTAACAACAAATAACTCTTCTTTATCCACTCATCCTTTGAATGACATTTAAGCTGTTTCCATGCCTTGGCTATTATAAATAGTGCTGCTAAGAACATTGGGGAGCATGTGTCTTGGATAAATTGATAAAGAAGATGTGATATATACATACAATGGAATATTACTCAGCCATAAAAAGAATGAAATAATGCCATTTGCAGCAACATGGATGGACCTAGAGGTTATCATATTAGGTGAAGTAAGTCAGACAGAAAAAGACAAATGTCATATGATATCACTTATATGTGGAATCTAAAAAAATGATACAAATTTTATTTACAAACCAAAAATAGATTCTCAGACATAGAAGACAAACTATGGTTACCAAAGAGGGAAGGGATAAATTAGGAGTTTGGGATTAACAGATTCACCCTACTGTATATAAAATGGATAACCAACAAGGACCTACTCTATAGCACAGGGAACTATATTCAATTTCTGTTATTAACATATAATGGAAAAGAATTTTTTAAAAAAGTATGTGTATGAATAACTAAATCACTTTGCTGTACACCTGAAACTAATATTGTGAATCAACTACACTTCAGTAAAGAATAAAATTTAAAAAATAAGTCTTTCACTCAGTGGGATCTAGGCATCAGAGGGAACTGAAGTCTTAGATCTGATGAATATTTGGCTCCATGTGAACTGGAAGTATAGTTCAGGGGCAGCGGTTCCTGATCTACCCAAAGAATGAAATTCACCTCCCCCTGGGCTGAAGGCAGAAAATCAGATCCTTTCAGAGATTGGAACCTAACCATAAATAGACCAGACTTGAGGGGTGGGAAAGAGAAATTTAAGGATCTCTGAGTAAGATTTTACCTTTGAGCTGGAAACCAAAAGACTTATCTCATCTATGTCAGCATAGTGGCCTGCTTCTAAATAAACTGTAACATCAGATAACCTCACCCCTGGTTCAGTTTCACATTATAAGCTGCATGTGTTTCTTTCACGATTGATGATTGCGGAGGGCAATAAACCCTGTAGCCAGCCGCCATAAAGACAAAGTATCTGCCAGTCTCTATCAAAGGAGAAATGAGGGTAAGCGTTGAAGGGTGAGTCCTCTCCTCCAACCTACCCCCATTTTGGGGGGTCATTAAAGCATCAGCATGGAGCACTTTGCTTTCAGAAACCAGTCTTCTAATTCAGAATTTTCTCCTTTTTTGTTGGTTATAAGTCATTTCTGCATTTTTAGACTCTCCATAACATCCTTAGGACTATGAAGTGGGGGAGACTTGGGAGCTGTGATGGTGTCTGTGAGGAATTACCTGGGGCCTGGTGATGCACTTTTCCCAGGCCCTGTACTGGAAGGAAAGACAGAAGAGCTTGCTCGCAAAGAGCTAGTAGCAGTGGCGGCTCAGAGGGCACCATCCTGTAGCTGTATAACTGTTCACTTTTGGAATCCAAAGGAAGGTGTGAACTGTTTAATGTGAAAGGACAAGGGAGGAAGAGGCATTTTAGTAAAGTACCTAGATAAACGAGTGTGCAGAATAAATGCCAGGAAAATAGCCTACATCTAACTTATCCCACCAGTCCCCCCATCCTGAAGCAATTACCTTTCCAAGTGATACGTTTTTAATTCCTTTTTTTTCCTTTCTATATAATTGTACTTGGTATGCAATGTATTATATGTAATACAATTAAACTAGTATTTTATATTTCTGTTGTTTTTAACTTTACAAAGAGTATCATATGTCATCTTTTGAGATTTACTCATTCTAACTAATATTATTTTGCATAGATTACAATTTTCTAACACTGGGAATTGCTAATAATGAAGTTTCAGAGGAATCTGGGTACCTGAAGCCCAGCTGGTGTACAGACTCTCTTTTTAGACCAATGGCAAGTACAGGGTTCCAACCTGAGCTGGTGTTGTGCTGACAGGATTATCAATGGGCAGCAAGCCAAGGAACCAAGGAACACGGGAAAAACTTTGTGTAGAGGAAGAAGATGGGGCCAAGAACCCAAAGCCTGGTTCCAGTGCATTGTCGACCCAAAAGGCAGAGCACAACCAGATCCAACGAGATAGAGAAAACTTAGTCAAGAGAACAGGGGCCTAGAGAAACTCCTCGGTGGACTGGACTGTGGAGATTTGTACTGTCATGTTGTGAGATCTGAAACTATCCAAAAGTGAGAAAGAAGCTCTTAAAAACACTGAACTAGTTTGCTGATTCATGGTATTTTGATGTTTTCTCTGAGTTTGATTGGAAAGCCCATCACTGCCCTTGGTGCAGGTGAGTCCTCAACACGCACAGCTCACTTCGCACTTAGTTGATGGTGTTCCCTTTCAGGGCCATGGAGAAAATCTTCCCCAGTAAAAGAAGCTTCATCTTGTCCCGTTCTACTTTCGCTGGATCTGGCCAATTTGCTGGTCATTGGTTGGGGGACAATGCGGCCACATGGAATGATCTCCGATGGTCCATCCCTGGTATCCTTGAGTTCAGCCTCTTCGGCATTCCCATGGTGAGTTTCACTCCCAACCAAGGAGCTTCCATCCTTCATCCTTTGACATTGTTTTCATTACCAGTCTCTGAGGGTGTCTGAAAGGTAGTATATCTCACTGTCATATGTATGGGAAAAACCAATTTTTATGTGTCATATGAGTTGCCTTCTGAAGATAGGATGGCAACACTTTAACTTTAGGTTGCCATCCATGGAATCTCTGAAGCTGGGAAGGAGGCACCATGAGTAACATGTATTAGTATCACAGAAAAATTCCACCAGTAGAGCATCAATAAATAGCAAAGTATGAAAGTGGGAACTGAACACTGAGGAAGAGCCCTTGAAAGAACAGTCAGCCATCCTCTTGTCAGTAAGTCCATGATGCATGCTCGCTTCTTTCTCTCATGGGGCTGGAGGCTTTCCCTGAAAGCCTGGATCTTCTTAAACATGGCAGGATGCGAATAAGAGATCCTCTTTTTCTTTATCCTATGGGTATACAGTCAATGCTTTCTCCTCGCTCGCTGACCACGGTGCTTGTATGTGTGCTTATTCTCCAGGTAGGTGCCAACATCTGCGGTTATGCAGAAAATGTCACAGAGGAACTCTGCAGAAGGTGGATGCAGCTTGGAGCATTTTACCCACTATCAAGAAATCACAATGGGCCTGGGTTCAGGGTAAGTTCCCCAAGAGAAGTGATGGAATGTTCTTGGATTGTATGATCTACTTGTACTCAAAGAGGGATTGAAGAAAATCCTACACGGTGGCCCTAAGAGCAGGAGCAGGATAGATAAATCTTGGGCGATAGGCTGAAAATGCAGAGCATCGGGATGAGGGTGCGTTGGGAGCGGTACGTATATAATTGAATGGTTTTATTGTTGGAAACTCAGCAAGGTTGTTAAAGTGTCTGTGGTGCTGCTGTCACTTCTGTTCCCACCTTTTATAAGATGAGACAATTGGAATCCACTGGCATTTTACTTGAGTTATTACAAGAGAACTATTCCTAGATATGGGACAGCACAGAGGAAGGATTTAGGAACCTGAACGTTTTTTTTCACCTGTCACAATGTTCTATCTTTCTATGAACGGTTTGGGAGACCATTCCCGCTGCTTTTCATGACTCATATCCTTTTCTATATATAAAGTTGTATTTTTGGTTGGCAAGTATATAGCAGTAGGTTCGAAGTCCCTCTTAAGGAGACGTTTTTGGTGATAGCAGGAGTAAGTAAGATGGGACACCCTTTTCTTTTAATGACATAATTTGCAATTGAAATGTTTCATATTAGGCAGTTTAGCTCCTAATAGGCTCAGCAGAGTAACTTACTGATGATCGTTTAAGTTCAAGTTCTTGACTTTCTCCGATGACATGTCTCTAACCTGGGAAAGATTCACGGCCCAATCTTCAAAGTGTTTTATCCCGGGCTTTCCTAGCCATTGGTGATCTTGACAGAGATGAAGTGTTTCTGAACTTCTAAGAAAGTGGCTGGGAGCAGGTAGGACGGGCGCACTTCCTGAGGAGATGGCCTGTGAGGACGTTATGGATAACGGCATGCAGATCACCTAGGCTGCTGGGTTACAGAGCCTGTTTTCCTTCCCTCTTGATTCGTGTGGTCCAGTAGGATGGTGATAAGAGCCACACATGTAAGTTTAAATGTAAATGTAAAAAACGAAAAGAAAAAGGAGTGATTATTCTTAGTATGTTTTATGTGACTCCATACATCCGTAACATCGTCATTTCAACTGGTGTTTAACACGAAATATTAATGAGCTAGTTTTCTTTTCTTTTCTTTCTACTAAGTTCAAAATTTGGTGTGCCTTTTACAGTGACAGTACATGTTGATTTGGATGCTAAATTTTCAGCAGTTGGGAGTGAAGTGCAGCTTTCCCAAAACAATAAAGTACTGTTTAATGAAAAAATATTTTGCATTAATACAGTTTTTAAGTTTATATTTCAATTAGCAAAAAATAAAATTATAAGTTTAGTTGCTCAGTCTTCTTAACCACATCTCAAGTGTTTAATAGCCGCCTGGACCATGTGGTCACCATAGTGGACGGTGTGGCTCTGACTTTCTGACTTGGAGACCAGAGTGATGGAGGCTGTGGAGTGTTACCCTCTTTGGTATTTGGCCTTGGGGTTTTCATGAACCCCACGCTGGGGACAGAGAGTGGTCTCATGGAGTAGTTCTATGTGGGGGGGGGATGGGCGTCTTAGAGAACCAAAAAAAAAAAAATTTAGACAATTGTCTCTAAAATTCAGTTCCACTAATACAGTATAGGATGACAGGTCTAAATATGGTGTGTGTAACTTTCACATCTTTCAAATTACAATGAAAATGAACAAAATGACTGCCTGTCATTAATGGAACATTTCTGTTTCTGGGTCCTAAGAAAATCAAATTTCCCATCTAAAGGATTCTTTCTTTACTCTTGGATAAAATGTGCTAAAAACTATCTTCATGATTTCTTTCTTTCTTTCTTTCTTTTTTTTCACACGTTATCTTGGAGAACAAATAAGAGTCCACTGTTTTTGGAATAGAGAAAATGAAACAGATTTTGATGGGGAAAACATTATAGAAAACTAGACATCAATTTTAAAATGGCAGATTTCTATAAGTGCATGGAAAGGGAAAGATGGATTACAGATCACGGTGGTAGGCAATGTGACTCCAGGCGACAGGTTTCAAATTCTTTTCTCAGTAGTAGTACAACTTTGTTGCTATTATTTGCCAAGTGAAGTAGTATGAGAAACCTCAATATATAACATAAATTGGAGCAGCTCTGGAGGGAGCAGGGCCACGCTGGCCCCCTTATCTCCATGGCAACTTCTGGGGGCTTCTTTATCACCCCGAGGCTGCTGTAGACTTATATCAGAAGACACATGTCAAATTTAAACTCTGCCACTTCCTTGCAGTTTTACATTGGGAAACTCATTTAATCATTAATGTTGTTTTTCATCTATAAAATGAAGGAGCAGGAGCAAGCTCCCTGCAGTTCTGGAAATGCTTTGACATCTTCTGAGTTTAAAAAAAAACATGACTACTTCCATCTGCGAAAGCTTCTTATCATAAGGGAACTTTAAAAAGGGGATGGAAATATTTAGTAATTGCTTACATGTCCTTCTAGGACCAGGATCCTGCTGCCTTTAGTGAAAGCAACTCGACGCTGCTGGATTCCTCCAGGCACTACCTGGGCATCCGCTACACCCTGCTGCCCTACCTCTACACCCTCTTCTACCGAGCTCACACCCAGGGGGAGACCGTGGCAAGGCCCCTCGTCCACGAGTAAGCTTCACATCATAATTTCACTTACCCTGTTAGTAGCAACAAGGGTAGTTAGGACCCTGGTGCCGTATCCCGTGCTGCTGTCCCGTACTGGAGCCTCCACCTGCCTCTCTGTTTTTCCAGGTTCTACCAGGACCCAGCCACGTGGGAGGTGCACGAGCAGTTTCTGTGGGGGCCTGGACTCCTCATCACGCCTGTGTTATACGAAGTGTGTTTATAATCTAAACAACGGGGCGGGCGATCACACTTGTTCCCATGGCTCTATGGCTGAATGAGCAGGATCCTGAGCACCTATGGCGGCGTTTAAACTTACATATAAATAGAAATGATAGAGAGATCATGAAAGTTTGGAAGTGAAAAAAAATAGTAACTTTTTTTCCTTTTTTATTATTCTTATTTTTTATTGAAATGTCGATTTACAATATTAGTTTCAGGTGTACAACAAAGCGATTCAGTTTACATATACATATATACCTATATATATATATATATATATATTATATATATATATATATTTCAGTTTCCTTTTCATTATGGCTCATTGCAAGAAATTGAATATAGTTCCCTGTGCTGTACAGTAGGTCCTTGCTGTTTATCCACCTCACATACAATAATGTGTATCCATCAATCCCGAACTCCCAGTCTATCCCTCCCCCGCCTCTTTCCACCCTGGTAACCACAGTTTGTTTTCTATGTCCGTGAGTCTGAAAAATAGTAATTCTTGATCCCACTGTTTACCAAGCAAAGCAATCTCCATTTTGCAAAATTACCTTAGAGCTTCTTCCCTTAAACGTGGGGCCGTGGTATTGACAGGGGCTTTAAATGCGGTGAGTTTGGGCTGGCCACCTGCCTGTGTTTCCCTTTGACCAGGGGGGACGTGCTCATAAGGTTGGGCTGGGAAAAGAGAAGAGGTGGGGAGAGAGTCCTGGAGGGAGAGAGGCACGCTGGGCAAGGGGAGGCTGTTACCCTGCAGTGCACGTAGGAGGGACCGCAGTCCCCTCCCTAAGTGTGATTTGGGGCAGGGGTGAGTGGGGAAGTGAAGAGGGGGTCGAAATTATACTGATCAGTTTACAAACATGAGACATGGCCCCTGACTCACAGCCAAGGCCCTTGGAGCTGACATTTTAGCCACAGCCTCTCATGAGAGGTCCTACTAACTAGCAGGTGGTCCTCCTGGAAGGCTCTCCCGGGGGCCTAGCTGCTTTAGTCTCCCCGGCGTCAGATTACACAAGTAACTCAGGGGATGAACCTTCTCTGCTTCTCTCAGGAGCCTCAAAGCAAAGATAACTTAATTTCTCGGAACAGCTCTGCTTTGGGCCAACTGCCCACTCTTCCTGAGTATCTGCACTTTTACTCCTCGAATGGGGTGATCCCAGCCAGCTCTCGGGGTTGTTCAGATGAGCAGTTGCCACCACGTGTGGAGGTGGTGTGCAAACTGTAGAGGGGTGTGCCCGGGTTGCTCATTACTGTTGTTTCCCTAGGGTACGGGGCCGGTGAAAGCGTACATACCAGACGCCACCTGGTACGACTATGAGACAGTAAGTGAGACAGCCCTACTTGGCTCAGAGACCCGCCTCTAGCAGAGGGAATGCTAAGGCTGCAGTCTTGGGAGCTCGGGGTAGGATGAGGGTCCAAGGTTTGACGTTACGTTGCTTGTGGGCACTTTCCTGTGAAGATGGTCTTTCCAGATGTACAATGAAATTATCTGAATAACTGGGGTTTATGGCAGTTTTCATTATATGAACCTGGCTATTTGCCCTATGCTCTGATAACCTTGGGAATTAAAGCCTGGTTGTGGAATCACAGCGTGGAGTAATCTAAAGACAGAGAGTGGGCTGGAGTCTTGGGCAAGTCGCTTCACTTTGGGGGTCTCTGTTTTTCTCTTCTTTAAAATGTCACAGCTGAACCAGATCACGTTCAAGGTCACTCTTGGCCCAAACAGCGTATTGTCTGATCTTTTTGCCTTTCTTGGTTAGAGAGAAGCCGTCCAGTGGAGGAAACAATTTGTGGAGATGCTACTGCCAGATGATAGGATAGGACTTCACCTGCGAGGGGGCTACATCTTTCCCACCCAGCAGCCAAACACAACCACAGAGGTCAGGTAAGCTCCTCCCTCTTTCAAGCTGTGACCGCTTGAGGGCTCCAGGGGGCAGGGTGTTATGGGAGAGGCAAACAGGGACTAAAAGTGGATAAACCAAAGGAAAACATCTCCAGTCAGTAATCTTCCTCATCTCCTTTCAAAGTCAGCCCACGATTGGCATCTTAGTCTTCATTAGTGTAAACGTAGCCTTGCTTCCTCTATATTCCATTGTCTTTCACCTTTTAACTGGATCAGATTGTAAGAATAGTCAAAATAATCATGCATGAGGACTTCCCTATAGTCAGAAATTGTCCTCAAGTAGATTCCCTTAGGCATGAGAGAATGCACGTTATATAGGAGATGAGAGTTATCCGGTGGAAGTCAACATAGGTTCAAAGTCAACAGCCAGAAAGTTTGGGTTCAAGCCTCAGCTGGACACATACCAGATGTGTTGCCATGGGCAACTTACTGCTGTGTTTCTGCTCATCATTTGTAAACTGGAGATGGTGGTAGTTCGAGGTCAACTTCTTAGAGTTATGATAAGGGTCAACTGAGATAATAGAAATGATTTAATGTATATAAGACACTTAGAAGAGTGCTGGCCACATGGTAGGCACAGTAAGTGCTGATTGTTAGTATTAACACAGACCCAGTTTTCAGCAGGAACTGCCTCCTTCTACCGTTTTCTTACACTCATTCACTGCTAACCTCTGCTGTCTACCCACGCCCTACTTCCGCGTTTTCATGCAGGGTCAGTATCCGCTCAGTATCTGGGATTGACTCTGAGGTTGTCTGTCCCTGGGGCATGTCGGAGGCTGGTTCAACATCATTCTATCTCTTCTTCATTCTCTGAAACTGAGAATTGCTTTTTTACAGTCGGAAGAATTCCCTGGGACTCATTATTGCCTTGGACTATAAAAGAGAAGCCAAGGGAGAGTTGTACTGGGATGACGGTGTATCTAAAGGTAGACGTCCTTCGGGTGCCATCACTGTGGTTCTTCGTGAAAGTTAGTCTTTGAAGGCTGCCCAGTATGGTACTAACCCTCTTATCACTGATGCTTATTTCTGTAGCTTAGCATCAATTTCTTCTTAAAGTTTGGTTAGCCAAGCGCATGCATTAAAACAGACTGCAGATGAGCAACTCGTACGGTGTTAACTCTACCAAAGCAAAAGACATTATTGGATTTAGTTTCCTTATTCTTTTCTCTGGGGGTCACTATTAGTACCAAATAATAATACATTTTGTTAATAGATCTGGAAGATACTGCTTTGGTTGCTATTGAGTGGTAAGTGTCTAATTAGTGGAGGGAGTTTTTCCACTGTAAGATTTCCATGTAAGTACCCCCCATAAGCTTATGGTCTCACTATGTAAGAATCCTGTCCCACATAGACTTAGCGCTTATTAATATCCATTGACTATTATCACACTGTATGCAGGGCAGATAAAGATGAATAGGACATAGACATTGCCTTGGAGGGAGTCCTGGTCCAGCAAGACAGCTGCAGTGTGCATGTGGATAACCACAAATGCAAGTCAAAATGCTTTAAATGCCAACAATATGGTACCCCAAAGTGCCATGGAGTTCAGAGGAGGGAGCAGTTACTGTGGGTTGAAGTGGCCCCGGAAACCTCTGAGGAGGTTTGCAGAAGCAGGTGGGACTTGGGTAAGCGGAACTAGATAGCAAAGGCGTTCGTTCCTAGTGAAGAGAAGAGCAAGTCTGCACGACCGCTCGCTTCCTGTAGTAACGAGCCCTCCTCCATCTTTCTCTTTTAGATGCTGTAACTAAAAAGAATTATACTCTGTATGATTTTTCTGTCACCTCTGTAAGTACTGTTTTTGAGGTACTCACCGTGCATGTTCTTTTCTGTGGCAGCTTTTTGAGTTTTTGGTTTGCTGTATATGCTTGGTCATGTGGACTAGGGACAGTGCCTCACTTGCTATGGTCCCAGAAAGGATTAACATTAAAATGAAAGTTTTTAATCTGTGGCAGACACATAAGCCTATAGAAAATTGCTATGAGTTTGGTGAAGAACTAATTTTTTTCCGAAACAAAAAATCATTGAGTTTTATATGATGAGTCTTGGCTTCCAAGATGAGTCCTTGTTTGAGGGGGCGCAAGTGGGTGGGGGATGTGCGTGGGGGGTGGTGAGGTGTTCAGTGCCTTTTTGAGGTTCTTCCATAACAGCCTTCCTTTCCAGCCTCTAAAACCTGGCTGTGGGAACAGGTATTCAGTGGTGGTTTTGAGAGGTTGGGAGATGCAGAACATCACTTTGCCCATCTTAGAAGTCTGACTGTGCACGAGCAGAACTGTCTTTGGTGGGGATCTCTCTCCCCCACTTCTCTTTTCTTTCAAATTCATATTGCTTTTTAAATTACAGTTTTCATTTTGACATAATTATAGAGCCCCATGCAGTTGTAAGAAATAATACAGAGTGTCCCCTTGTACTCTTTACCCAGCTTCCTGTAGAGGAACATCTTTAAAACGATAGTGCAATTTTACAACAAGAATATTGACGCCGGTACTATCAAGATATAGAACATTTCCATTGTAACCAGGATCCTTCCTATTGTCACACTTACGTGTCTCCCCACCCTGACCTCTTCCTTAGCTCCCAGAAACCACTAATGTGTTCTCCATTTCTGTAATTTTGTCCTTTCAAGAAGGTTATGTAAATGTAATCACACAACATGCAACCTTGGGGACTGACTTTTTTTCCCTTGGCATAATTCCCTCAAAACTCATCCAGGTTGTTGTATATCAAAAGTCTTCTCCTTTTTATTTCTGAGGAGCATTCCAAAATACAGATGGCCACCTTTTGTTTAACCATTCTCTGAATAAGGGTAGCTGGGCTATTTCCAGCCATGGGCTATGACAGATAAAGCTGCTATGAACATTCATGGACAGGTTTTTGTGTGAACACAGGTTTTCAGCTGTCTGGGATAAATGCCCAGGAGTGCAGCTGCTGGGTATTATGTAAGTGCGTGTTTAGTTTTTATAAGAAATGGCCAAACTCTTTTTCAGAATGGCTGAACCATTCTACATTCCCAGCAACAATGCGTGAGTCACCCAGTTTCTCTGCATCATAACCAGCATCTGATGTTATTTTTTTTTTAATTTTAGCCATTCTGATGAAAGTGAAGCGATATCTCATTGTGTGACATTTAATTTGTATTTCTCCGATGTTTAATGATGTTGGCCATCTTCTCATGTGCCTTTTTATTTGCCGTCTCTATTCTCTTAGGTAAAAGGTCTATCCAGTTCTTTACCCCACTTTCTAATTGGATTGTTTGGCTAATTTTTTTCTTCAGTTTTGAGAATTCTCTCTCTTTGTTAGAAAATACTCTCTTCTTGGATATATGGTTTGCAATTTTTTTTTTCAGTCTGTAGACTTCTCTTTTCATCCCCTTCACACTGTCTTCCACAGGGCAAAAGTTTTCATTTTGATGGGTCTAATTTATCATTTTATCCCATTTATGGACCATGGTTTTTGGTGTCTGGTATAAGAACTCATTCTACCTTTGATCTTCAATATATTCTCTTATTTTTTCTTAAAAGTTTTACAGTCTTATCTTTTACTTTTAAGTTTACTATTTTGAGTTAATTTTTATATAAGATGTGAGGTTGGGATGAATTTCATGTTTTGCCAACAGATGGCCAATGGCTCCAGCACCATCTGTTGAAAAGGCCATCCTTTCTCCATTGTACTGCTTTTGCCAAAAATCAGCTGGGCATATGTCTGTGGGAAGTCTGATCTTTTTAAACATCAAAATGTCCCTTTTTGTCTTTAGTCTTCAGTTCCACTTCCTTTGTCATAAGTCAACTTTGTCACTTTTGATCTGTGTTTCTCTGAATAAGTTATCTAATTTATCTGGGCTTTGGTCTCCTCATCTGAAGAATGGGGATCATTACAGCCTCAACCTCATAGTTTGCTGTGAGAATTGAATAATATAATATGTGTGAAGTGCTTAGCACAGTTCCTGGCACACAGTAAGCATTCATAAATTTTAGCTACCATCATTATCATTAAACTAAAAAGAAATAATTATTTGGGCACCATTTTGTGTGTATGTGTATGTCTGTGCCTTGGTGAGCCCATGAGTCTCTGTGTGTACTTGTGTCTTTTGTTTGCTTTTTGAGCACCTGTCTTGTCTGCTTGAAAATTCCATGATGTCAGGAATATATTTTCTGGGTAAGAGAACCAATAATTAAACAGTAAACCAAAGCAAACACAAGATATGACTGAAAGATTTAGGACTGTTAAGAGTCATGGTTGACAAATTCCCTGGGGACCCATCACTTGGCTCCATTTTGAACCTCAGAAGTAAAGGATACACCTTAGATCTCAGACAGAAAGATATTGAGTGGTATTTGGGCACAATTAGAATGTGATACACCTGGTCTCTAAACTGACTTTTCTCCCCCCTAGAACCGTCTACAGGCAAAGATTATAAATGATATTTATATGGACCCCAACAACCTGAAATTTACAGATATTATAATCTTGGGAATGGACAAGCAACCTACTGACTTTATCGTCTTCCATAATAATGCCGCCACCTCCATTTCAAATGTTGTCTACAATAATTCAACAAAGGTGGGATATAGTTCCATCCTGCAGGGCCCCTGCAGAAAGCATTGGCCTGAGATTTTGACAGCCAGCTCTCCCTTGCTCTTCTGACTTTGGGTGGTCCCAGAGACAAGCAGCTTGCTGGGAGACCGCAGGGAGGATGCAGAAGGAGAAACATGTGCATGTTAAATATGGACACTTGAGCTTTATTGGTGTTAGATCTCTGAAAAAACCAGAAGGAGTCGGGACCTTGAAGGAAGGCAGATCTTCTCCGGGCAAATTTAGAAGTAGACACGCTGACCCCAGATGGGATACAATAAAATACGAATCATCACATTGGTTCTAGAGAGTATTTACACGTGTTTTCTCATTTAAGTTAGAGACTTTCTTTGAGACACTTTTGATACTTTTCCTTAGTGTTTTAAGCTATTTTTATACCATCACAGAAAATGGGAGTTTAATAAAACACAAGGGGCAATCTGGTTTTGCTCTTATGGAAGATTCCCTTACATGATAATCTCTGACAAAAGATTCCAATTGTTGGTTGAATATTTCAAGCACTGGGAAATTCTGTTTCTTAGGGCAGCCCCTCCATTTTTGACGACACATATAGCAAAGGACAAGAGTTAGGTTTTTAGAATTAGGCTGGATAGGTTCTAATCCTAGCCCTCCTGTGCTTTAGCTGTGAGATCTTGGGCAAAGCACTAAACCTCTCTGAACCTCCGTGTTCTGTTTTGTAAAATGGAGATAGCCTTGTTATTCACAGCATAGGATTGCTTTGTGGGATTAATAGAGATAATGCGTATAGAATGGTTATCACGGTGCTTGACCCATATAAATGCTGAATAAAGCTAAGCTATTGTTATTACTGACATTATTATTAAAACGTGTGAGCATCATATCCAGGAGGCAATAAATCTGAAATGAAGCCCTGCCTGTGATCTGTACTCCTTAACATGATCAAAGATCTTTCCATTCAGTGTTCCACAGTGACTCCATGAGGTGGGAAAGGTCAGGAGTAAGCCAGGGCCATTTTCCTGGCAGGGAGATCAAAAGCCCCAGAGGAGAAAAAACAATATTACAACTCCTGTGGCAAAGTGGGGTTGGACGAAGTGCTAGCTGCCCCCCGACCGACTTCCAGACCGTCAGGGAAGGACATCGTCTGGGCGGTTCCACCTCACCTGTCACCTGTGGCTTCTTGTCTTTCCTCAGGTGGTGAGCATCACCGATCTTGAGGGACTGGTACTAGGACAAGAATTCTCCATTGAGTGGAAGCTTCCTGTTAGTGACCTGGAGAAGTTCAACTGCTACCCTGAGGAGCCCGCTGTCTCTGAGGAGAGGTGCAGGCAACGGGGGTGCCTTTGGGAGGTAAAGATCAGACGCAGACGATGCGGTGAACAGGAAGTTGTAAAAAGTGCCTCACAAGTAATTAGGCACCTAGGAAACACTTTTCAAATGCTGATAGGTTGAATGGTAATCATTCTTCAGGAAGAAAATGATTCCACGCCAACCAATGAATTATTTTGTCAGTTTCGTGTGTTAGGTGGTCAGTGTTTCACTCAGGTTTCCTGAGTCAGGAAGAACTCACGGCCACTCTAGCTCTCTTTCCTCCAACCATGGCATTTAAAACCTCACTTGTTTTTTAGGTTTTTTTGGTTTTTTTGAACATAGCAATAATACACTGGGAATGCATTGAGTATTTTAAGTGATTTTTTTTTTCAACTATTGAAGAGGCCAAGCAGAAAGGTCAGACTCTTTCTCTCCATTTGAAAAATAGAGAGAATGAAGGCCGGAGAAAATAAGTGAGTTTCTCAAGACCACTTGAGGGGCAGTGGGGACACCGGGAGCAGAACCCAGCCTTAGGATCCCAGTCTCCAGACCAGGCGTCCTGCTGACACGTCACTCCTCACCTGTTAGAGGAGGCCAGTGTGTGTCTGAGTTTTCAGATGGATGCACTCATTTGCTTCCATGACAAAGTACCACAAACTGGGGGACTTAGCACAACAGAAGTTTAGTATCTCAGGGTTCTGGGAGCTGGAAGTCTGAGGTCAAGGTGTCAGAGAGTTGGTTTCTTCCGAGGGCTGTGAGGGAAACTCTGTTTCGTGTCCCTCTCCTGGCTTCTGGTGGTGTGCTGGTCATCTCTGGGGTTCCCTGGCTTGTAGAGGCATCACCTGGTCTCTGCCTTCATCTTCATGCGGTGTTCTCCCTGAGGGTGTCCAAATTTCCCCTTTTAATCAGGATCCAATCATGGTGGATTAGCCCTATCCTGATGAGCACATTCAGCTCGATCATTTGCAAAGATCCTATTTCCAAATAAGGTATCAGGTGCCTTATTCACAGGTACTAGGGGTTAGGACTTAACATCTCTTTGGGGGAACGGAAGTCAACCCACAGGAATGGGCATGGTATAAAAGACAGTCTGCGTTGACCACCTTCTTCAGTAACTAGAGCCTCGCAGTGGGGTGTCAGAGGCTGACGGAGAATTCCTCCTCTTGTTCCAGCCCACAACTGTCCCTGGCGTGCCCACCTGTTACTATGACACCATCCCTAATTATGCTGCCAGTAACATTCAGTACCTGCCTACGGGCATCACCACAGACCTTTCCTTCCTAACGGCTCCTGAATCAGCACGCGCGG